TTCCCTCCCTCACCCCGTCCCTCCCTCCCTCCTCCTCTCTCGGTGCTCTGGTGTGGGATTCTGCCATCCCCTCTCCCCCATTCCCTCACCCCGTCCCTCCCTCACCCCGTCCCTCGGTGTGGGATTCCCCAAATCTCTCTCCCCATTCCCTCCCTCACCCCGTCCCTCGTCCCTCCCTCCCTCACCCCGTCCCTCCCTGTCCCCTTTCCTCGGTGTGGGATTCCCCAAATCTCTCTCTCCATTCCCTCCCTCACCCCGTCCCTCCCTCTCCCATTTCCTCGATGTGGGATTCCCCAACTCCCTTTCCCCTTTCCTTGCTGTGACATTCCCCCATTCCCTCTCTCTGTTCCCTCCCTCACCCCGTTCCTCCCTCCCTCACCCCGTCCCTCCCTCACCCCATCCCTCCCTCTCCCCTTTCCTTGGTGTGGGATTCCCCATTCCCTCCCTCACCCCGTCCCTCCCTCTCCCCTTTCCTCGCTGTGACATTCCCCCATTCCCTCTCTCCGTTCCCTCCCTCTCTCCGTTCCCTCCCTCACCCCGTCCCTCCCTCACCCCGTCCCTCCCTCTCCCCTTTCCTCGCTGTGACATTCCCCCATTCCCTCTCTCCATTCCCTCCCTCTCTCCGTTCCCTCCCTCACCCCGTCCCTCCCTCTCCCCTTTCCTCGCTGTGACATTCCCCCATTCCCTCTCTCCGTTCCCTCCCTCACCGTCCCTCCCCTCCAGCCCCTCCCGCCGCCATGCCGGACCGCGATGCCTACGCCGCCGCCCCGGCCCCCGGCCTCGCCCCCGGCAGCGCCGCCGGCGACGACGCGGCGGCCGGCGCGGACGACGACGACATCTGCCGCGACTTCCTGCGCAACGTCTGCAAGCGCGGCAAGCGCTGCCGCTTCCGGCACCCCGACATCTCCGAGGTCACCAACCTGGGCGTGCGCAAGAACGAGTTCATCTTCTGCCACGACTTCCAGAACAAGGAGTGCGTGCGCCTCAGCTGCCGCTTCATCCACGGCTCCAAGGAGGACGAGGACTGCTACAAGAAGACGGGCGAGCTGCCGCCGCGCCTGCGCCACAAGGTGGCCGCCGGCCTGGGGCTGTCGCCCGCCGACCTGCCCAACAGCAAGGAGGAGGTGCCCATCTGCCGGGATTTCCTCAAGGGCGACTGCCAGCGCGGCGCCAAGTGCAAGTTCCAGCACCTGCAGCGGGACTACGAGCAGGGCCGGCGCTACGAGCCCTACGACGGCCTCTACGAGCCCGACGAGCCGGTGCTGAAGCGGCGGCGCGCCGAGGGGCTCTACGAGGGCTACGAGTACGGCTTCGGCGGCGCGCGCGCCGTGGAGTACCGGCTGCTGGAGGAGGAGAACGCGCTGCTGCGGAAGCGCGTGGAGGACCTCAAGAAGCAGGTGAACAACCTGCTGGCCACCAACGAGGTGCTGCTGGAGCAGAACGCGCAGTTCCGCAACCAGGCCAAGGTGATGACGCTGAGCTCCACGGCGGCGGCCACCGAGCAGACGCTGGCGCCGGCCGTGGGCTCGGTGACCAACTACAACCACGGCATCGCGCAGACGCACACCACGCTCAGCAGCCAGGCGCTGCAGCCGCGCCCCGTCACCCAGCAGGATCTGGTGGCCCCGGCCGGCGCCCAGGCCGCCCCGCCGGCCACCGCCGCGCCGCCGCCGCCGCCGCCGCCGCCCATGAACCCCGAGATCGCGCCGCTGTCGGCGGCGCTGGCGCAGACCATCGCCCAGGGCATGGCGCCGCCGCCCGTCTCCATGGCGCCCGTGGCCGTGTCGGTGGCGCCGGTGGCCGTGTCCATGGCGCAGCCGCTCGGCGGCATCACCATGAGCCACGCCACCACGCCCATGGTCACCTACCCCATCGCCTCGCAGAGCATGAGGATAACGGCCATGCCGCACTGACCGCCCGGCGCCGGCGGGACCCGGCCGTTCCTCCTCTGGTGGTTTATCCGGTAACGGGAGGCGGGAGCCGGGGGGAGAACCCCTCCCCGGTAACGTCGCCGCGGGCAGAGACCGTGAGCTCGCTCCGACCCCGCACACGGACCCACGGACGCTGTGGGAGGGACGCCCTCCCCGGTGCCGGGAGCCCCGGGATGGACTGGACAGAGCACCGGGGACGGGGTGGGGGGTGGCGGCACCGGGGCTCCCGGTGCGCTGTCGTGTTTTCGGCTATTAAAACAGAAAAAAAAACCAAAAAAAAGCCCAAACCCACTCGGGCCCGGCTGGCCCGGTAATGCCGGGAAGGGCTGGGGAGAGGGGGGGACACCGGAACGGGGAAACCGGGATGGGAACAGCGGGACCGGGACACCGGGACCGGACACGCCCCTCGCCGTGGCCACGCCCACACCGTGGATCAGGGCGTGGTCGCCCCGCCCACAGGGGCGTGGCCAAGACTTGGCGGTCATTCCGTGAGTGACGCGGGGGGCGTGGCCAGGAGCTGGCTGGCGTCCAATGGGCGTTGCGTGCGTGCGGAGGGGGCGAGTCCCGGGCGGCGCGGCTCAGCCAATCAGCTCCGCGTGCGTGCGCGGGGCGCGGCCGGGGCGGCGGCGGCGGAGCGGGAGCGCACCGGGAGCGCACCGGGAGCGCACCGGGAGCGATGGAGCGGCGCAGCGCGCCCGGCCTGGCGGTTCTGGGCGCTTTGGGCCGGCGGCTGCTCTGGGCCCTGCCCGCTTACGCCGCGGGGCTGCTGGGGCTGGGCGCGGGCGCCGTGGTGCTCGCCGTGGCGCTCTACGCGGGCTGGCGGCGGCGGCGGCGCTCCCGGGAGCGCGGGATGCGCGCGGCCGAGCGCCTGCAGCGCGACGAAGAAGCGGCGGTGCGCGCCGCCGCCGCCGCCGCCGGGCTGGGCGCGGCCCGCGGGGAGCTGCCGGCCTGGGTAAGCGGCGGCTCGGGAGCGCCCCGCCGCGCCGTTATCGCCCGCGGGAACGGCGCCGGGGAAAGCCGGGCGGGATCCCCGCACCGGGCACCGCCCTCCCCTCGGCGGGGCTTGCGGGGTTTGGGAAGCGCAGCCGCCCCCGGTGGGACCTCCGGGCACCGCTGGAGTTCCCCGCACCCCCGGGCGGGTCCCGGTTCTCTGCTCCGCTGCTCCGCTTGCCGCCCCCGGGGATCCCCGCACTCCCCGGGCTTCCCCGGGGAGCTCCCCGCCCCGCCGGGACCCCCGCCGCACCGAGCCCCGCTGGGGTTGTCCCCGTTACCGGGACCCCCGAGGCACCGCACGGTCCCCGGTGCGACCGCCGGGGCTGTGCCGCGCATCCCGCACCGGCCCCGCTGCGGGACCCCCCGGGATCCCCGGGCCGGGTCCCTTCTCTGCACCGGGACCCCCGGGCATCACCGGGCCGGGTCCCTTCTCTCTGCACCGGGACCCCCGGGCATCACCGGGCCGGGTCCCTTCTCTCTGTACCGGGACCCCCGGAGCTCCCCGGGATCCCCGGGCCGGGTCCCTTCTCTGCACCGGGACCCCCGGGCATCACCGGGCCGGGTCCCCTCTGTGCACCGGGACCCCCGGGCATCACCGGGCCGGGTCCCTTCTCTGCACCGGGACCCCCGGAGCCTCCCGGGCATCCCCGGGCTTCCCTCGCTGCCGCTCCCCGCCCGTTCCTTGGGGATTCCCGGTGGGGCGGGGCCGCACCGAGCCCTTCTCGGAGCTGGCGGGACCCCCGGGGCCGGGGTCGCCGCCCCACCGGGACCCCCCCCCCCCCCCGCTGTCCCCGGGCGGGGTCCCCGCGCTCCGTTCCC